ATGGGTAAAACCCTCGTACATCATGAAATGTAATAAATTTTTACATACTTAAGTACTAATAGTTCACGAAAATTATTATTTTCGTGAACCATTAGTACTTCAGTGTGTAAATTTTCTTTTCTTGTCTCCATACACATGGTCCTACGCGAAAATTGTTTCAATTTTGCCATATCTCGACGCTTCTGCTTCTAGTGTTGTCAGATGTTTTTCCCTTATTCCATAAGTGCTTAGCACCATATAAGGAAATTTATAAAGATCTTTTAACTAGAAGCAAGCAATCTAAAATTATATACACTTTTTGCAAAAGGTAAAGCATGAATCTGAAAATAATGCAGAAAAATGCTCAGAGGATAACGATAACTTGCCAAAAATAAAACGCTCTTGGTTAATAGTGCTTTTAGTGATGACAAAGAAAACATTGTTTATATTAATATGTATCACTTAAGAAAATTTTAATAAAGATATTTATCTTAATTATGAAAATATAGTAGCATGTTTTTTTGGAACCTAACCCTCCTTTTCGTACTAGTTCTTTGTTTCGCATAACATGGATTTGCATAACATGGCAATTTTTTGGAACGTAACTACCGTGTTATACGGGGGTTACCTGTATATTGTAATTTCTTTCTCCAATTTGAGACATAAACCATTATCATTAGTGTTAACTGTGTTCAAAAATTGTATCCTGCTGTTACTTTTTCAAGTTATAGAAAAATCATCGACATATCTTTTGTACAAAAACGATATCATTCATGTAGAAAATAAGGATATCTTTCTCTAACTTACATAAGACCAATTTGCACGGGCTTTCCATGGGGACTTCTTTTTTCTCTCTGTACACCCAACCATTGAAACTAAAGAATGACTGGTTACAAACCAATTTGTCAGATCTCTTAATTCATTCAGATGGGCAGCTGTTTCAAATTTCAATAAGAGCATGAATTGCATTAGTGTTTCAGAACATGATTCTATGTTGATGGATGGATATAAGCTCTCAAAAGCCATTACTAATCATTCGAGACTGCATACTATACTATCAAAAAACTTACTAATACACCTTATCTTGCAGTCAAAGTTTATTACTTCGGTCTTCGTTTTCGGTCTTGTTAAGACCTTTCTCAAGAAAAATAAAGCAAATAAAAATAACAAAATGCAAATTGAACGCTTAGTACAACGAACAAGTTTTTCGAATATTTTTGAACTAGCCTATTATCCATTGCAATTTATGATGTCATTGCAAACTTAGCAACGGAAGTATAAAAATCCTAGAGATTACATACATATCTAAATACAAATAGTTACCATCTCCGAACATCACTCATAAATACATAGCTTAAGATACATAGTAACTACTTCCCTCAATTATTATGGTTTATATTAAGCTAGAGGACCATGCTGCTGATATTTTTGTCGATTCTCGAAAGTTGATTGCAAGGCCTTTATGCTTTGCTTTACAAATCTACCAGGCTTCCGCGTAATGCCGGTGTTTCCGGTCTGAACTATCTGCATTAATCTTGCTTGGTCCCATTCAGCCTTGACGTCTTGCGGGTCCGCTAAAACGTAGGTGGCCAGCACAGTGCATGGTTGTTCTTTTCTTATATTTGCTTGATGTTCTGCTAACCTGTCTTTGATACATCTTCCTGTTGCCCCTATATACATTAATTTACTACGTTGCCTTGAGTCCGTAACTGGAATCTTATATACACCAGGGAGTGTTCTTCTGTCCACTACATCCTTATCAGATCGTAATAGTTGGTAAGTGGTGAGGGTTCTTTTATATAGTATTCTTTTGTTCTGGGCCTTTCCGACGCGTCGAAAAATATTAGTCAGCGAAGCATTATACTCCATCGTTAAAACTCCTTCATTATTAGGTAAATTTCTCTTCTTAAGGCACGTTTTGCTTTTGCTGATAATAGCCTTAACATTAATCCTGTACTTTCTGGCTAAGTTATATATATAATTCAGTTCATCTGTTCTATCTTTTGTATTGTTACAGTGCGAATAAGCTCTTGCGATTAACGCTCTGAATGCTGCTATTTTATATGCTGGAGGATCGTGAGAGATCCATGGAATAAATATAGGGTTATAGGATGACTTTCTGTAAATTTTTTAGTCGTGAAATCTCGTATGCTGTTAATTTGTATATACAGATCTAAGAAATGTATGGTCTTATCATTTTCTTGCTCTAACTCTATCTCAAGGCCGAATCTATTGTCATTTATATCCTTTATAAAGCTCTGTACGTTGGGTTTAGTGTTCCAGAAAATAAGTACATCGTCTACATATCGAACATACATTATCATTTGCGCTTCATACTTCGGCAACACTGCGTTTTCTAGCGTTGCTAGTACCATTTCACATAGTGTACTTGCAAGGGGGCTGCCCATAGCTACCCCTTTTTGCTATGTGTAGGTAACACCTTTGAAGCTAAATAGCACAGAGAAGACTGTAAGGTGTGCCAAGTCTAAGATGTATTTTTTTTTTTTTCCTGGAGAAGGGATCTTGCTCAGTAGTAAGTCCCTTAAATGACAAAAGCACGGTTCCAGTTTAACGGATGGATACAAGGCTTTGTAGTCTAGCACCGTCATATATTTCACTTCCTGCGAGTTAATATTAGCCATTTTGTTTAAAACCTCTAATAGTTGCTTGACGCTGTATGGATTGTTAGGGGCATGTTGCTGAACAAAGTTGTGTACCCATTTTTCCAGTAATATTGTAGGAGCATATGCTTTATTGACGACTGGTCTTATTTCTTTGTTCTTTTTATGGGTTTTAGCAAATCCAAAAAGCCTTGGGGTCGATGGGGGTTGTACGATTACATTCTTGATGCCTAGTTCTTTGGCTAAAGGAGTAGTTGCGAACCTCTTGACTCTTGCTTGCAGTTTTCCCATGGTGTTGGGGGGGTGCAATCATACAGCAGGTATCTTTAATGTATGCTGATATAATGTGGTCGTATGTGGTTCTCTTCATAACAACCATATCCTTTGATTTATCTGCCCTAGTGAGCACTATGTTATTGCCTCTAAGCCAGTTCTGGGTTTTTCTAATATATGGCCATATAGGATCTCTGTCTCTTTTACATTCATCATGCTTGATTTTCAATGCTACTTCCCATCTAAACATTTCTTTCTTAGTTTCACTGAGACCCTCTAATGCTTGCTCGATATCTGGTATGAGTCTGTCCTGTTTGATTAAAGGTATTGGGGCATATTTAGGGCCGTATTTACTTGCTTCCTTTACGAATGTAGGCAAATCAATGTTGTCCCAACATATAATCCTCGGGGTGATCAATTCTTTAAAGCGATCTTCTTGATGTTTTAATTAAGATCCAGGTCATTTTGTTCCTGTATCTCTTCTTACATCTTTCTGTCACCTGTGCGGCTAATGTTATTTCTCGTGCATTAACTTCTTTTAAGATCTTAGGGTCGCAGTCATATAATTCATTCTCTAGCTCTATTAGTTCCTTCTGCAGGACAAACTTTCTCCGTCTAATATTGTGGATTGCTTTATGTAAACAGATTGTTCTAAGTTTAGAAATAAGCGAGGCGCATCCATGGGGTAAACGTACCCTCCAAATTGACATGGGGAAGAGGTTATGAACTCTGCATTCCGTCAAAAATTCTAGCTTCATATTATTTCTGCAGATCTTTAGTACTAAGGTTCTATACTTTATGGCCGGCGATGCCAAATTGCATCGGATTACAGGCTAGTTCAAAAATATTCGAAAAACTTGTTCGTTGTACTAAGCGTTCGATTTACATTTTGTTATTTTTATTTGCTTTATTTTTCTTGAGAAAGGTCTTTTAACAAGACCGAAAATGTTAGAAGTAATAAACTTCGGCTGCAAGATAAGGTGTATTAGTAAGTTTTTTGATAAATCCATTACTGTTCTGACCTCTTGATGCATTAATGATAGATTGTGTAGTTCCTTTACAACTTTATCAGGGTCTTGGCTACTAAATTACTATTTTCCAGTTGGTTTGATAAGAAATTATGTATGTCATTTTTCCAAATGTTCTAAATCAGTTTGTGGTTGAAAAGTATAGAGGACCAATGTACATTTTGGAAACATTAGCATTTGTCCCAATATCATTCAAATTGATACAAATGCTATTTTTAATTTGATAAATTGTTTCTATAGATCAGTGGTTCTCTAATGGCATACCTTAAGAGATGGCTAAATGTACTGTATCACAAAAATGAAAATATATTTAAAAATGAGAAGAAACCAATTTGTACAAAAAATTTATTACATCCATGATGAACTAATATCTTGGTTAGGTGTATAGAGTAGAAATATATTTTATTTTTAATTTTGTACACAAATAGCATCAGAAAATCCTACATGTTTTATAGTATGTTGCAAGCCAAAAAAGTTTGAGGACTAATGATATAGATGTTTTTATTTATTGAATATATTGTTTGGTGAAAGCACATTTTACCTCAATTCTAATTAATACAATGCAGTATTTATTTAAAATTAAATAAATTAAATAAAATTTAATCTTGGAAAGTGCAATGCATTAGTAATAATCATATATACTGTGCATTTGATAAAGTATAAAATATCTGCAGATTAATAGAGTACAAATAAGAAAGGAATGCCTATTAAGTATCTAGGCTTTACAGAGTTATATTTAAAATATGCAAAAAAAATTCACTAAAAGTTTAGAAAATTTAAAATATATAAAAATATAAAAATTTCAAATTAATATTCAAAAATATTAATTCCATGTTAACTAAAGTGGAAAATCAACAATTGTTGAAAGATGATTCAAATCCATTATTCAATAATTACCACCATACAAACAGAAAATGCAAAGTCTGTTATATCCATGCATTATTAAATGCATATCTGTGATAGTGGAGAGATACTATATTTTTTAATGTCAAAAGTTCTCTATCTCTAATATACCATGGAAATTATTCAGTTAATATTATATTATTACATTATAAAAATGTATTATATTAAGATAGGTTACAAATATTTTATTTTACAGTGTGGACAAATTACAACACAATTAGCATTGAAGATTCTCTTGCAGTTTGATAAAGCAATTAATAATGCTTTGGCTAACAGAGTGAAAACAAGACTTACTTTTAAGGTATGATTGTATTTTATTGTTTATTATACAACAAAAATAAATTAGTATATTTTTTTAAAGTAAGTAAATGAGTAAATGAATACATATATTATATAAATATGCTCAAAATATGTAAATATAAATAATATGTAAATATGCTCAAAAATAAAAATATGTAAATATGCTCAAAAATATTGACAAAAAGTGCAGTACCAAGAAGGCATTGGAATTGAATGAAACTGTATTAGTGTGAATGTAATGACAATAGTTATAAGTGCTTAAAATATCATAGCATAGGAGCAATTTTCTGTGGAATGATGATACAATTTAAAGAAACCTTTGATACTGTACCTTATAGAACCTCCTCTTGCTTGAATACATAAGGTAATACAGTCAGGTATGAAAGCATACAAGCACTGTATACTGTCTTGCAACAGATTTACCCACAGATATTATAACTGCTTATCCAGATGTTACACTTGAAGATGACTGAAGCCAGAATCTCATCTGGTTCCACTAATGCTTTATGGGCATGAAATCTGGAGACCTGGTAGGCTGAGGAAATGTGGCAAAGTGATGGAGACATTCTGGAAAATCCTAGCTGGGTGAAGCCAAGCATCATTTTTCTGGAAAATGAATGTCTGCAGCCCTATCACGAAAGGTAACACAAACACATCAAAACACACCGCAAAATATAAGACTTACTTCTAACTCAAAACCAAAAACGGTGCATAACTCAACAGTACGTCTAGATATACTGTCAAGTTACGCACCATTTTTGGTTTTGGGTTAGAAGTAAGTCTTAAAAGGTAACACGTGAGGGTGCAGGATTTTCTGAATGTACCATTGTGCTGTCAATGTCCCTTGTATCATTACTGACTGACATACAAAAGGGTTTCCCATATCAACACATCAGCAATGGAGACAGTATACTATTTGACAGTATAGGCAAATTGGAATATTTACTAGTGGTTCTCCACTCACTAACATAATGATCATCATTCCCAAACAGAACTGGGATTTGTTGCTAAAGATAATACATTGTCAATACATAGCACTCAATGCTTTTCTGTCATGGCATCAATGCAAATGAAGTTGATGGTGATTGCGGCTAATAGCAGAACTTGTAACATGAACCATGCATGGAAATTTTCCTTTGCTAGTCTCTTGCCAATGGTATGGGAGAGAGAGAATACTATATTAGGCTTCCATCTGTACAAAGATGTCATTGTAGTTGCTCATGCTTGTGTCATAATCAATCATTTCTCCTGTTGGTCTGTTTGAGAAATCCAAGACGTGTGCCCTACCATATCTAACAGTCCTAACATCTCTTCAAAATAGCCCATAATGGCAGGCAATTTGGCAAAATGGTCATCTTCGTTCAGCTAGATTATGTGGCTTTTCTCAAACTGCTGTATGCAATGTTTTTGCATTACATAGGCATGTCTGATATTCAAAAACCTCCAAATAACAGGTACTGTACATTGCACTGAAAATTCTGAACACAGTGAGCCTCTGCAAATCTTTTTACAGGATAGTAGAATAACAATTTTAAGGCACTCTGGTTATATTCTGGTGTGCAATTGGATCACAACTGTAATCATTTACAAATCTGTCTGAGACACAGTTGTATGCTGAGTTTTGCAGTAGACAATTTTATCTGGGTGCATAACTTTCTGGGTGCATAACTTTTTTGTCAGTGAGTATTTTGAATCAATTGTTAATACTTAAATATAGTTTTAAACTAGACCAAAAATTAAATTTATGTAAAATTGAAATCAGGATTATATCTGGAAAGAATTTTTTTCCAATGACAAAAAAAAGTGAAGATGTGTTACTAATAAAATTATATTAAATGCAGGTTAAGAATATAACTTTTTATTTTCTATTTTATTTTTGACTTTTTCCATCCTGTGAACACTGAGGACTTCTTTTAATCATTTAATCGTAGGATTGCAGAAATAATGATTGACATAATAGAAATTAATTAATCTATTACTGAAGTTGTTTATAACATTGTGTTGTTTAATTAACAGTTTAAATTATAAGATGATGGACAGATTTATTATATTTATTAGAATATGGTCTTGATTATTACATATTAAAATAAATATAGTTCTTTTTAAATTTATAATAAAATAAGTGGCTAAACTTTTAATTAGAAATCAATAAATTTTAACTCCTAATCTGAAACACATTTTGATATTTTAATTTTATTAGTATGAAGTTGAATAAGTTTTTAAAATGATTAAATTTTACTATCTGAAAGAAATTGTAATATAAAGTAATTATTTTTTTTTATTTCCGTCAAGGCTGGTCATTTAGATACTTACAGGTTTTGTGACAATGTTTGGACATTTGTTTTAAAAGATGTGGAATTTAGAGAGGTCCAAGAATTAGTTAAAGTTGATAAAGTGAAAATAGTAGCATGTGATGGAAAAGGTAAGTTACATTAATATGGAGAAGTTAATATACAAAATACTTGAGAAACTATAATTTTTCTTTAAGTTAAAGTTCATTTTAAATCTTATAAAATGATTTAGTTGATTTTCATATTTACTACTTAAACATTATTGATTCTAAATATAAATATTAATAATAAACATTAATGAGAATGCAAATAAATATATACTTTAACAAATCAAAAAAATTTGATTGATATTAATAATTAACAAGATGTCAAATATAGAGGATATAATTTATCTTCACTGATTTACAGCTTTATCAGTCTTAATTCAGAAAGTAATTATATTTTTTAAATGTTGAATATTTTTTGAATTTGAATTTTAACTTTGATGGATTTTAATTCCATCACCAAAGCTAAATTTATAATTATTATAATTTATTCTATTTTTACTTCTAAACATGTCTGAAAGTATTGATTCTGGTTAAATGTGTTTTGGTAATGTGTGCACTTAGATGGTATAGAGTTTTCCTTGCCTGTTTTGATTTGTGTATTTTTTGGGTATTGTCTCTGTATGGGGTCTAAACTTGTATGTTATGCTACATACTTTTTTATAGGTGTTACTGTTGAGGTAGTCTCAATGAGTGTTCTATGTTTTGTGTGATCTAGTGTTTGTGTGTGGTATCTGTTCTGCATGTTGTTGTTTATAGAATAAAGTTATGTAGAATTGTTTTTTTCTACTTCATTCATTTCTTGAGTCCACTTCATCTTTTATCATGGTTTTCCAGCCTTGGTGGTGGTAGATGATTGAACTATTGCTGAAGCACATTGGCTGGGATGGTGTGTGCCATCCATTGTGTTTTAGTGAGGGGCAAATGTGTTTATGCTTCACTCAAACACAATGGATGACTTACTTGGGCCAGTGCTGTATTTTCCATTAGTGGTTAAGAGAGAGAGAGATTTTTTTTAATGTGAGCCTCTGCCTAATTCATGAATGCAGACCTTGTTAACATTGATGTCTGAACCAGTGTCATTAATGTGTGACAATCATGTTTTCTTCACAGAAGTGAGTATGCTTATATCCTTAAAGTCAGATAGTTATAGCTCAGCCACCCTTGGCATGGGAAAGAATGTTAAGCAGCCATCCACTCTGGATTAGACTGCTTGTGGGTTACTCTTTGCTTCATTTCTCCTTTAGACCTTATTGGCATGGGTGGCCCTACTGGAAATTTATGCTTTCATTGGCATCACTCTATGGTTTATTGTGATTTGTGACAGAGTTGTTGTGATATATTATTATTATTAAATGTGGTTTGTGGAGATAAATATCTATTTTTATTTAAAATGCCTATCATATTTTTTAACATTATAAATACTAGAAATGACTTCATTAATGAAAATTTATATCATTCATCCTCAGAATAATTATAAAACAGACATCCCTCGACTGTAAGGGTTACACTCCAAAAACATGATATGGTTGCTAAAACAAAGACTCTATGGACAATAAAGGCATATAACATGTAGTCTTTAATTACAATTTGTAGCAATAACTGATAACGTTTTAATTGTTGTTTCTCACAATACAATAGTTAAAGTTTTGGCATTACACTATCTGTTGTCTGTGTAAAATCTATACCAAGGGAAATTTAGAAATTAGAAAACTTTCGAAATAACTTGTTAAGTATTAAAGGTATAAGTATAATAATAATAATAATAACAGTTACTCATAGATTCAGTCATTCTACGACAAGCACACAAACAACACAGAAACATACACATGGCATATATAGACTACAGAAAAGCATTTGACAGTGTTCCACACAGTTGGCTGCTAAAGTACTATATTATTTTTCCGACTTTCCAACGATTATCGACACTACTGTGTGCCGGAAATAGCCGTTCCCTAACGGGTACTTTACGCGGATTCGCGTTAGTGTGCCAGGCCTGGACTTTAAGCGTGCACCGAATTAAATAATGACAAAGTTTGTCAATAACAAAATCAAATATTTAATTAAACTTCTATATACAGTATTTAGTAAAAATCAAACAATAATTTATTCAATGAAATTCAACAAGAATCAATCCGACAACTCAAATCAATCTATTTCTAACTTAATTCTATTCCCCTTTGGAATTCGACAAAATCAAAGAATTAACTTATAAACAATAATTCTTATAAATTAAAGATCCTAATCGTCACCTCAATATACTAGGAACCTATTTCCTCAAACTCTCAAGACTTTCTATAACCGTCGATCCACAAATCGAATAACTTCAAAATCCTATCGGACACCTCTCTCTCGTTCACTGCTATAAGCTCGTTGCTATCAGGAATTCACCTCGTTCGTTTTCACTTGAGTTAGAGGCTTTATAGTGTGAGGTGACGTCACAATTCTGAATGAGCTCACTCTCCTCATTTACATACTTATCTGTAACATTAAATTTTTCTTGTTT